TTTCTATTTTTCTTTTTTTTGGTTTACTTCCTCGGTTGATGCCTATAAATTGCTAATGGCCTGTAGCTTTATTGCTAGTATTTAGAACCCTTAGGAAATGACTAATTAGAGGTGTCTTTCAGGTGTAGCTGATCTTTAGATTTGAGATTGTTGCAGGTTCCTACGTCTTCAGTTTATCAGGAATGAGAAGTTGCTGACTATTTGGCCTAGCCCCTAATTCTTTGTCACTGGCCTATAGTATTGTTTATGACCCTTGGACAATCTTATTCTTGACATACAAGGAAGAAAGACTGATTAAAACAAATATATCCCCTTGGTTAAAGTACTACAAAGAGCAATTAACAATAGAATCAAACATAGCCTAGAAAATCACAAACTGTCATAACTATTAATTTGCCACTTTTAATTGTATGAATTATATTTGTGCTTTTACAACAAATCTTTAACAAACTAGAAAATTTTATATAGTATATATGCCCTCAAAATGGCAATTGTACCCTCCAGAGAAAGAAAACTTAAAAGGGTTAGGGGGAAAATAGAAAAATAGAAGAATAAGAGATTAGAAGTAAGACTGGGGACACAGGATGATTACATGAACTTTGGGAAATTGATGAAGAGGGAAAGGAATAAGGTAGAAATAAAAAGAAGAACAGAATAGAACAACAACAACAAAAAGAAAACTAAAAACAATGTTCACACTCATAAAAATGAGAACAAGGAAAAAGAAAACAAAAGAAAAACAAGAAAAAAAAGAAAAGAAAAAAAGAAAGAAAGAATGTCTATTTCATGGCATGTTGCTACTCACATTGATAGATAAATCAGGTAGACAGAGCCCAGATCTGTGTTGATTAATCCCAGTAAACCAGCGGTAGACTTGCGGTGTGGCAGTGGATAATCCTAGCAAGCCTCCACCTTTAGTTCTACTGAAATTCAGGCAGGTTTCTGGCTGTGTTGCTGCAGCAGTCCATGTGCCTTCTGCTGGCTTGAACTGGTCTCCTTGATCTCCTGCCCACTTGAATTTGATTCTTCCTCACTCTGACATCTGGAGCCACTTGATGGAGCCAGCATGCAGATGCTCTGAGTTCCAAGCTGAGTTGTCCTCTCTTAAAGATGCTACTGGTCAATCACCCTTTTCTGGGGGACATCTGAACCTGAATACCTCACCAGCCACTGCAGCACACTGCATCCACTACTCCATTCCACTAGTATCTTTCTCCATGGAGTCTGTGACCAGTAGTCACACTGTGTCTGCAGGATAGCGCTTCCCCACCCACACAGTGATTCAGGACTCAGGGAGAAAGCACCCTTGCTACTTCCTTCTTCTGCATTGGGGTGTCTGTCTTGCTCTCTCAGTGAGCTTCAATTCTTGCTTCAGATCTTTGCTGGGTCCTGGGGACACAGTTCTTTCCTTTTTCTCTTGCTCACATTGCTGTAGTCCAGTGTCTGGACGTCAAATCTCAGAGAGGCTGTTTCTCAGCTGTTTACCACTCCACCATCTTCCCGGAAGTTGAGTCAAGGTAAACTCTTAGAAGGAAGGAGAATAGAGTGACCCCAAAGCACTCTCTTTTCCCAACAGGAAATCCTCTTTCACTTTTATATCCAACAACAGCTACTGCAGCCAGAGAGCTAATGACATTGCATTGTGACTTTCTTTGTGTCACTTCTGTAAAAAGAAATCTCTGACCTGGAACACACAGGCCTTTTCTGACTGTCTTAGAATAGGACACTCTCAAATTCCAGTTTGCAGTGGTCATGCTTTGGTGCAAAGACTTTTGGTACTGCATGGTTGTGCACATTGTTTACCTCCCTGTTCCACATCCCTCATCCTCCTGCCCAAGCAGCACCTGGCAATCAACTGCTTAGGCATAGGTTAGGCTTAGGCTTATGCTTGGGTTAGTGCTTGTTGTCTCCTGCCAGAAGGTCATACTCCTTGCTTATTCATGGGTAGCAAAAGGCAAAAAGGATTCCTGAAAGTCACAAATGCCATTATGCTGAGTAAACATAATTCTTTCCATGATGCATCCACTCAAAAGCAACAATGAAAATAAAAAACCCCAAAAATGTGGAATGACTGTTTCTGCTTGCTCTGCTTGTGCTCTCAACAGCATGGAGAAATTATTCCTTTCTTTCCTCTCTCTCTTTTTTCTTTCTGTTACTGGGAATTGAACTCAAGACCTTGTGCTTGCAAGACAGGCACAGTGCCACTGAGCTAAATCCCCGGCCTTCTTTATTCCTTTCTCTCTCTGTTGAAGACTTGTTTTTCTTTTTACAAGGAATAACTGTCCTAAACTTTAGTTTATGAGTATTTGAACCACATAAGGGGAATGGCTCAATGGTAGTTAACAGAGGCAGATCATTAAATTCAATTGTAGTTATATTTTAAAAGTAAAAAAAATGATTTTGATGATATTTTAATTTAAACAACACATGCAAAAATATTTTAACATATATAATCAATATTTTAAAACCCTAGGAGTTTGTTTGCATTTCTTTGGACTAAATTGTCAATATTTAGTGTGTACATTACAGTTACAGCACATCTTAATTCAGATTAGTTACACTGCAAGTTCTCAAGATTCACATGTGACTAGGTGTGGTGGTGCATGTCTGTAATTCCAGCTCTTGAGAGGCTGAGGCAGGAGCCTTCTTTGAACTCGAGGCCAGCCTGAGGTACACAGTGAGTTCAAGACCAGCCTGAATTACATAGGGAAAGACCCCGTCTCACAAAAGCAAAATCAACCCCCTCAAAAAAAGAGTCACATGTGGCTATATTAGAGATTAGAGGAAATCTGTACCCAGATAATCTCATTTTGCACATGATCCATATTGTCTCTTTAACTTTGTGCCTGTCTACCATGCAAATATTTCCCATTTATGTTCAAATGTGTTTTTTTCTTTCCATACAGCATATACTATATTCTGCTGAGACGGGATAATTTTTCTCTTCTATTCTCTATGCCAAAAGAGACCATCTCATGATTTACCTGCTTCAGTCTTAAATGCTTTAATGTGATCAAAATGATGTGTCATTTGCTGAGGACTTTTCTTGCATGGAACACTGTGAAAACTATTTCATACACATCTCTTTTTAATTCTCAATATCCTGATGATTGACATTTTAGAAGTAGGAAAACTGAGGCTTAGTGAGCATCTTAGTCACTTTCTCATTGCTGAGATATAGTACTCAACACCCACAACTTAGAGGGGAAGAGGTTTATGTTGGCTTTCGTTTTAAAAGTTTCTTTCAGTCCTTGCATGATGGGCTGGCTGGCTTTAGGCTGAAATGGCCTGGAGGAAGGGTTGGTGGAAGGAAGGAAGCTGCTCACATCAAGGCAGCCAGAAAACAGAGTGAGGGGAGTGGCGGGAAGGGAGGGCACGCCCCCAGCGATCTGCCTCTTCTGACCAGACCCCATCTAATAGCAAGTCAGCTATCACACCCCAATAATCCAATCACTTTCTGAACACATAAGGCCTTGGAGGTCATTTTAGATCTAAACCCTAATAGGTTATAGAACTTGCCTAATTCTAGGCCCAAAGTTATACAGTTGTAGGACCTAGAACTGAATGAAGGCAATTGATTCTAGATCTATTTTTGAATTAGAAAATATAACACATATTTGGAAACATGTATAAATAATAAAGTCTAACAAATTATACAGGTGTAACCACCACTTGCATCAAGGAATAGAAGAGTTGTTTAATTCCAACCTACTATTTTCTGATGTCAACTCCCTCCTCACAGGGTTTCCAGATATGGCCACTGGTCATACTTTTATAGTAACCAATTCCTTACTTTTATATATAGCTTTAACACCTAAATATGCATTCCCTCCTTCTCCTTCTCCTTTTTCTGACAGGTTCTGGTTATGTAGTCTAGGCTGCCCTTGAGCTTGTGATTCTCTTGCCACTGCCTCCCTGAGTGCTGGGATTACAGGCATGCACCACCATGCCCAGCTTCAAATTTTTTTCCTGACTGTAGTTTTATAGTTATGGCCTTCTTTGGTGTCTTTTAATGTTTTCTTCATGCATTTACATTTCTTTTATTTATTCCCACGCATTTGGTGTTTGAACATATTATAAACGGTATCTTTTAAATATTAATTATATTTTTTCTGGCATATAGAAATATTTTTTATTTTTTGTTTGTGTTTGATGGTACTAGGGATTGAACCCAGGGACTCTTGAAGGATAGGTACAGATCACCACTGAATTAAAATCCCAGTCAAGGTGGGGATTTGGCTCAGTGGTTCCGCTGCCTGCCTTGAAAACGCAAGAGCCCAAGTTCAATCCCTGATACCAAAAAAAAAAAAAAAAAAAAAAAAAAAAAAAAAAAAAAAAAAAAAAAACCCCACCCCAACAAAAAATCCCAGTCCTTTTTATTTGAGATTGGGTTTCACTATTTTTCCCAGACTGGCCTTGAACTTGCAGTCCTCCTGCCTCTGCCTCCCCAGTAGCTGGGATGTCAGAAATGAGCTCCCATGCCTGGCTTGAATTTTCAAAAGTATTTATTTACTTATTGATGCTAGGTGTCCAGCCCAGGGCCACGTGTATGCTAGACAAATGCTCTACCATTGAGCTGAACCTCAAACCTAAATTCTAAAAAAACTATTAACTTTGTTAAATTCTGTCAATCGTAACAATTTATCTGCAAATTCTATTGAATTGGCCATATACATAAGTATATTATTCTTTTTGTTTTTATTTATTAAAAAAATTTTTTTTTGCGGTACCGGGGATCGAACTTAAGACCTTATGCTGGCCAGGCAGGAGCGGTCACTTAGCTACACAACCCCGGCAAGTATACCATCCTTTAGGAGAATAACTATGTTTCTTCCTCTTTAATCTTTAGTCCTTTTACTTTTCTTCCCTTACTCCAGTGGCTAACAACCTTCACAGGCAATAATGGACACATGCATAGTTAACTTCCACCTCACGTCAATAATTGAGTTGGGAGGGTTGTTTTAGAGGATAGAAGGTCGGGAAACAACGTCAGCACCCACCTTTCAGCGCCTGCAGAGAGTTAGGGCGGAGATAGCTTCTCCCAGCTTCTCCTTTGAGCTGGAGGGAGGAGCCAGTTGTCCTACGGTTGCCAGGCAACGGCGTCGCGCAGTTAAGGAGTTGGAGTCTGGCAGCTTGGAGCACGTGCCGCCACTTCCTTCTGCTGGAACTACATCCCCCACAATGCCGCGCGCCTCGGCCGCCAGCCCCGGAGTGGGGGAAGTGCCGGGCCGGGAGGCGGAGCGGAAGCGGAGTGCTCGGGGCGAGGAGAGTACAATCTCCACACGCTAGGAGACAACCTCGTCCTGACTCCCAAGTCCCGGCCTTTCTCCATCCCAACCTGCAAGGCTGCTTCTCGAGGGCGAGACGCCGCTGACGCCGCTCCTCCGCTTTGGCTGAGCCGCT